TATGATCCAGCCACTGAACACTGGGAATCGTACATGCTATGATTCGAGTGTTTCCTTGAAGCGAACAATCTCATGGGCGTTCCAGAAGCCTGTAAGAAGAACATGTTCCTTGGTTACTGTGGCCAGGAAGTGTTCGAAATGGCAAAAAACCTCTCGGAACCAACCCCGCTCCAAGCGATGTCCTGGTCTGTACTACAACAAACACTGAAGACCCACTACGTGCCCAAGCTGTCCAAATACGTTCGCCGGCACAAATTTAACATCCGAAACCAAATGGAGGGTGAATCTATCAATGAGTATGTGGCGGCACTCCAGAAAACAGGAGTCTACTGCGAATTCCGAGACCTGGACAAGCTGATTCTGGATCGCGTAATTTGCGCAGTGTGAGATATTACTCTGCAGAGAAGGCTACTCACTAAATCCAACCTCTCTCTGCAGATCTCACTAGACGAGGCTAAAGTATCCGAATCAGCCGCCAAATCGATGGAAACCCTACAGCGTCAGAACACACCTCAGGACGCGTGGAAAAGGAGCCCCGTGCATGGCGAGACTACTGAGCCCGAGAGCTCCGAAAGCGAAGAAGAAGACAGCTACTGCATGCGCAGTAGCCGCACAAAGCTGGTGCAAAAATTCGATTTGCAAGTTCTGCCCTGCGCCAGCTGTGGAGGAGACCATGCCCAATCATCCTGCAGTTTTCGTGAAGCAACGTGCCAATGATGCAAGCGGAAGGGGCACATCGCCAAGGTGTGTCGGAGTGACTTCCCTACCACCACCAGACAGCCCAAAGGTTCACAAAGCCACAAACATCGGCCCAAACCAGGGGCTTGGCAAAAGTACCCACGGGAGTCAGAAGGTGACGATAGGATCGCCAACCATATGTTTGTTACACAAATCTGTACCTGGCGCCCCAAAAAGCTGAATGTCACTGTTCTGGTTAGACAAATCCGCTCCAGGTGCCCCAAAAAGCTGAAAGTCACTGTCCTCATCAAGGACTCCCATGCGAGATGGTCGTCACTGCCCATAATCCCATGGTCAGTCCTCAAGCAAGCAATCCCAAAGCTACAGAAGCGACGTCCTCCTGCACGATTACCAGGGGAACTAAATCCCCATTGTGGGCCAAGTTCCGGGTGAACTACAAACAATTCTGTGAAAACCTCCCCATGACAGTGGTCAGCAGAAACCTTCAGAGCCTCCTAGGGCTTGATTGGTTCCAAGCTTTGGGGATGGAAGTGACCAGAATCAATGCCATGAGGGACAATGGCGCTGAAACCATCTTTAAGGAGTTCGAGGACATTTTCAGCACTAGTCTGGGTAAGTACAAAGGAACCCCAATTTCCTTTAGCTTGGACCCCAAAATAGCCCCGATTAGGCTAAAACTTTGGAGAGTACCTTTCGCTCTCCGTCCTAAAATTGACAAAGAAATTGATAAACTTGTGAGCCAGGGCATCTTATAGCCAGTCGATCACGCACACTGGGAGATGCCAATTGTGACACCTGTCAAGCCTGACATGTCTGTCCACATCTGTGCGGACTATAAGTGCACAATTAATAAAGCATTACAACAAAGCGCCTACCCTGTACCTATTGTACAGCACTTACTACATTCTCTCGACCCAGGAAAAATCCAAACCATTGTGACGCACAGGGGTGCATTCAAATGCCACTGCCTGCAATTTCGTTTTAGTATCGCCCCTGGACTGTTCCAAAGCATCATGGAATGACTTTTGCAGGGAATTCCAGGAGTTGTCCCCTATTTCGATGATATCTTGCTATTGGCTGCAAATGAGGCGCAACTTTTAAAATGTGTACAAACAGTTTTAGCCAGAATTAGAGACAAGGGTCTCCACCTCAAAAAAGGTAAAAGTCAGATTGATGTATCAAAGGTCAAATTCCTAGGGTACCTGATTGATGGGTCTGGAATCCACCCGATCTCAGAAAAAATTAAAGTTATTAAGGACGCTCCCACACCTTGAAATCTGACTGAACTGCAGGAGTTCCTCGGGCTCCTTAATTTCTACAACGTCTTTATCAAACAGAAAGCCACTGTTGCTGAACCTCCTAGCCAAGAATGCGAAATGGTCCTGGGGCAAAGCCGAGACCGCCACATTTGCCGCAGTAAAATGACTTTTATCAATGGATTCTTTCCTAGTACAATACAGCCAGACCCTGCCATTGGTGTTGACCTGTGACGCATCCCCTTTTGGTGTCGGCGCTGTCCTTAGCCACCACATGCCTAATGGAACTGAAGCCCCCATTGCATTTTACTCCAGGACATTGTCCGCCATAGAGTGAAACTACAGCCAATTGTACTGCGAGGCTTTGGCTGCAGTGGCCGGAGTAAAAAGGCTCCACAAATATCTCTATAGCCAGGATTTTGAACTGGTTACGGACCACAAGCCATTGTTGGGCTTACTGGCTGGGGATCGCCCCACCCCTGAATCATTATCCCCCCGCATGACCAGGTGGACTATTTCAGTGGCTGCCTACTCCTACCGCCTCATTCACCGACCCTCTTTAGAGCATGCGGATGCCTTGAGCCACTGCCCATTGCCCAAAGTCCTCGCCGACCCCACCCCAAGACGTTGGTCTTCCTCATTGACTGCTTGGAGACCAGACTTGTCTCATCTAGTGACGTTGCATGCCACACTGCAAAGGACCCCAAAATAAAGCAAATTTTGAACTGGGTGTGGAGGGGGTGGTCTAAGGGGCCTGTTGGGTCTGATTTCAAAATGTATTTTACCAAACGTGATGAACTGTCAGTCATTAACGGGTGTTTGCTGTGGGGGGTAATTATTCCCAACCAACTGTGCATTGCAGTACTAGAAGCATTACATATAGGGCATCCTGGGTGTTGGAATTCATTCCAGGTGTTTGTGTGCAGGGCAGTTTTTGCTGTCTGAAACACACATACACAGGGATGCAAAAACATTGCACCAGAAACATCTTTCTGGCCTAACGGTCAGGACTCACTATGCAGCCTCATGTAACAATGAAATATGTGAGCCAGCTATTCCCACACATGCCCTTTCTCCCCCCTATGCTGTGCTGTAACTTTCTATTCCCCCTCTCCCCCTCCCAATGCCATGCAGCTTGTAACTTTCTATTCCCCCTTTGCCCACCCTTTGCCATGATGTGGTTTTCTATTGGTTTATTTGTAGAATGCTGTGATTTTTCATTAGTTTACTTGTACCATGTGTGATTATATATGCCTTTTGATACGCTCCTTTTTGATGATGCTGTAACTAACTTTTTCTAATAAAAGAGCCCTTCGAAGTTCATTCGAAGCTTTTGCTCATCCCGAGGAATTTTGTCTGGTGTTTTCCTTTTAATTAGGCAAGGACACATGAGCAGCCCTCCAGTGTGGCGACAACGCCGCACCTGGGATCATCAGGGTGAAGGCCCTGGCAAGCAGTTACATTTGGTGGACAGGGAGATCGAAGAATGGGTGGTCACATGCACACCGTCAGGTGTCCAGACCAACTCTTCCAGAGGCACCCACTAGGGAGTGGGAGCGACCACAAGCACCATGGTCCAGGGTGCACATGGACTTTGCTGGACCAGTTCATGGCCAAACATTCTTCATAGTTGTGGACGCTTACTCAAAATGGTTAGTAGTAGTCCTGATGACTTCCACTACAGTGGAATCGGTTATCAAGGTTCTACGGAGACTCTTTCCACGTACGGCCTGCCCGATGTCCCACCTACCTGCATGACTACATCACCAATTGGATTGCTCCATCCTAGAGGGGAGGGGTGTTAGATATTCCCCCAGCTCCACTGGCAGAGGTTTCCACAAAGGTCCTCTGTTCCAGCGGGAACAGAAGTTTAATCCCATTGGTCAAAAGGTCTGATAGAACCCTTTAAAAAGGGATGCTGCCAAAGCCTTCTTCAGTCGGATGTTTACTTGACTTGCAATAAAGACCTGTTGTTACTGGAGCCTTTGTGTGCCTTCTTTTACCTGATATAACAGCATTCCTAAGAGGTCTGTAAGAAGGCATGCATAAGTGCACGAGCGTGCCTACTGTCCCTGTCCTGATGTTCCTTTTTATTTGCATCCATTTCATGTGTTCAAAATCATGTTTATACTTATATATATTATCTGATACATGCTTCACAAAGTAAATTAATCAGTAAGTAAGTAAGTGACTTTTTCCAGTGCCATTGTAACTTTGAACAGTCAGTAAATGACTATCTGTATATGTTTTCATCTCCTTATAGGACGTTGAATGAAATAAAAGACAAAGAAGACACAGAATATTACTTGACATGGAATAGATTTTATGAGTGGTTAGAGATAAGAGATAGAAATTAGACGAAGAAAGATTACTGCTAGATATGAATTAAATATAAAGATGGTTTATAATGATAAATATGCCGAAATAATTAACAGAATTATGAATAAGCTAATATAAAGAGAAATTGAACCAAAACTATTCTGTTATATTATTACTGTTACCAGTATATGTGTTAATATTTCATTTTGTTCCCTCCTTGTTTTTCTTTTGCAAATGATAATACACTGACAATACACTGAATTTAAAATGTTTATGATTTTTTTTTTAAAGGACCTTGAACGAAAGAGAGAACTGCAGTATCCGCCGCTTTTGTCAGCTTTGTCGCCCATTTGGGTTTCTTGCTCGGCTCAAAGATGCTGCTGACACTTAAAGGGGCACTTTCAGCCTGGTTTCGCTCAGGCTTCTCAACCTGAAAAGCCGCAGAAGAAAGGAAACAAAATATTGCTTCCCTCTTGATGTTCGCCTTTATCTGATTGTTCACTTTCTCTTCTTCCACATATAAAAGCGACAGTGATGGTCCTCGTTGTTTTTTTTAAAGTATTTATGATTCTAGACTTCGTCACCCAACTTCACAACCAGCCTTCGACGCGCAGAAGTAACCAGGCAGGCTTTTAAAACTACATTATCCAGAGTACTATGGGGAACTACGTTACCCAGAAGGCCTCGCGAGGGAAAAAAATAATAATAGCGAAACTACAATTCCCGGAAGGCTGTTCGGGAACTTAACGCTGTCGTGGCGTTTCGGGGTTTCAGTGGGAATGCCTGAAAGTGTTCCCCGTTTCCTCCTTGCTGCTGATTGTGTGAACGGCGCTTTTCCGTGGTGCCCGTGAGTTTCAGGGGAAGGACTTATCTCGCCCCTCCTGTGACGAATAAGGATGAGGAGGGCTGGGCTTGGTAAGTGGGGATCAATCACGAGAAGTTTAGTGTGGGGAGCTTCTCCCTGCGGAGGAAACCCGCGTTCAGGGGCGCAAAGCGCCTTTGCCTTGCAAAATTCAGTCCCGGCCCTCATCTTCGGGAAAGCCCCCCTCCCTCCCTTGAATCTTCCAGCCTTCCTCTTATTCATTAAACAGAGGCCTGGTGATATCCTTCCTACAGTTGTCTTTAGGTCTTTTCCTTGCCAATGGGGATTTAAACTTAATGTGCCTGAAAGTTCAAAACATTCAATTGCAGGTGTAGATAGAGATAGATATTTATCTGTGGGGTAGTTGTCCCCTACCAGGAGTTACGCCACATAGTTGGATATTACAACAGATGTCAGAGATGCAGAGAGCAAGTGAGGTGTAAGAGGGACTGGCATTAGGGGCATCCTATAGGTTAGAGTTAGAGTTAGAGTTTTATTGATTTGTATGCCGCCCACTCCCGAAGGACTCCGTGTGGCTTACAATAAAACAAGGGAGGGGGGGATAATACACAAACAACATATTAAAATATACAACAGTCACAATTTCCGAGGGGCTGGATATTTCAAGGTTAGGCTTAGACTAAAGATCCTTGGGTGATTTTTATTTATTTATTTATTTATTTAGTTTGTAAAACGTATGAGATAATAGGTAGAAGTATAAACATGGACATGAACATGAACACATGAAATGGGTATGAATAAATGGGGACAGTAGGACAGGGACGGTAGGCACGCTGGTATGCTTATGCACGCCCCATTACAAACTTCTTGGGAATAGGATGAGTCCACGGTAGAAAGTTTAAGGTTAAAGTTGAGGTATTGATCTGTAAAGATATACCATTTTGGGCCACATACACTCAGCTCAGTCTGCTCTGCTGGGCTGTAGTTGGGGGAAAAAAATAAAAGGAACTTTATGCTCACCGTTTAATGGCCTTCTATCAAAAGTCGGGATATAAATCTAGCAAATAAGAGCCAGAAAGACGGCTGTGAAAAATATCTACAGATCCCTTGCATCCTGGACATAAAGTGTTTCAACTTCTACTCTCAAATTGATATTATTGGGCATTGCAGGCCTGAACAACTAGACACAATGACAATTTTCCCCCCATGCCATCATTCTGCTAAACAACTAATTCCCACAACACTGTCAAACTATCCAGAAAGGCAGTATTACCATCGTTATTCTCATCTTCCCTATTACCTATCTCCTTCTTATGACTATAATTTTGTTGCTTGTATCCAATTTATTTATTAACTTAGTATCCTAGTATGATTTATGTTGATTGCTTATTTAGTATCCGTGACTATCATCAAGTATTGTATCTAATGTTTTATGATGAATGTATTTTTTACAATGACAATGATATATCACTATTGTTGTATGTACACTGAGAGCTTATGCACTGGAGACAAATTCCTTGTGTCTAATCACACTTGGCTAATCAAGAATTCTAATTCTAATAAATACGAGTGGATTATCAGGTATACTGGTTCAGTCATGTTATTATAATTGGATGGACACATATCTCAGATTTTCAAAGGCCAGCCACCTTGAGACTCAGGGTGTATTTTTGGGGTGCTTTCATCATGTATCTGCAGAAATCATTGCATTACTGAATAAAGGTGAAGCCAACTGTAGACTATGATGAGGGTGATAAAACAAGTTATCTGTAACTTGCTTGTTCTGTATATCTTCACACATATGGTACAAAGACATCTATCAGTCTCTTTCCCAGATTATGTGGGAGGAGATTTATAGAGGGATGGGCTGATAAGATTAGACACAACTGAAAAATTGTATTAGGAGGTCAAAGACTGCATGAATAATGAAAACATAAGGCAGCAATGAATATTATGGTATTAATATTGAGCTCCTGTGGATGTTTAATATTCAGTCCAGTTTTCACTGTGTTAATGAGAATGAAAAATGACATTAACTTTTAAAAGAGGTATGTAACCCTGCCATCAAAAGCTCCCGTTCTCTGGCCTATGACATCTTGGAATAACTTAATTTTAACAGAAATATTTTATTGAATGCTAATTGTAGACCTAAGACTAGAAATATCATCTACTATGACAAAGTTAACACCATACATTATGCAGATACTTTTCAAATTTTAAGCAGCTTTCAAGAAATTCCTAGAAATCTGGTATATTCTGAAGCATTTGGTCCCTGGAAAATAATGAGAAATTTAATATATAAATTAATTTTCCACAAAGTAATTCAGTGGCATTCTATTAGAGTGCATTCTGCATAATAATAGTTTACTTTCTCCTATTTGTGAATACTTTTTGCCTGTTGTCAAAAATGTTTTCCATTTTTCTAGGGAAAAGCTGTGTCTCATTTAATCAGCTAACTCTGCAGATGTATGTGCATTTTGACTCATTAATAGCCTTACCATATTTTAATGTTTTACATAGAAAACTTGGAGAAAATAGAGAACGGTAGTGTATGCCACTTTTCTTTTTAAAATTCAGAAGTGCTTGACACTCTCCAACCCCAAACCAAATTCTGAGCAATTTATTCACATCTTATGGATTGAATGAACAATAAAATCCATCAGGTCCAGTCATCATCAATTATATGTGTAAAAATAATAACATAGATTTCAAGAATTCATGTGAGGCTGGAAGGACATTAAATTAGATGTTATGGCAATATTCCATGAGTAGACTTGTTCCATGACACACTATTCTGGTTCTAAAGATAGGATTTCTGAAATGATTATAATGTGTGCATGGAAGGGAAGTCTCAAACTGAAAAAAAGTTAATTATCTATGCTCTAATTTATTACCAGCTGTATTCACCGATTTGAAGACTATTCAGAAACTGACACAGTCTTACCTTTTTAAGCTGAGCTAAGTAATAATTTATTGGCTGGGTATCTGAAATTTTAAGAAAAAGTGTAAAGGTTGTAGAAAGTTAGCATTCACCCCCCCCCCCCAGAAGAATGAAATATTTTAAGGAATATTTTAAAAAGGCAGAATATTATATTTTCCTAAATGAGAGGGAAGAAATATGATTTTCTTAAAAGACAGAAAGCAGATTCAATCTCCTTCTCCCCAGCAGATTTTTGTGTCCATTGAGAAAGATAGGGCCAGCCTATCTACAAAACAAAAGACCTTCAGCTCCAGGGTGAAGGGATTAAGACATGACTCACCATGACACATTAGGATTAACCCACTAGCTGCAGAGCTCACTACATTGCACAGTCTCCTAAGGACATTGCACCAGAGTCCAAACTTCAGCCAAACTTCCCAGACAACCTACTAAGCTAGCTATGACCCCTACAACAGCCAATAGAATACATGTTCTTGTACAGGAGCAGAAAGTGTAAGTACAAAGCCCAAGAGAAATTATAAATACTCCCCACTCCAAACTCCATTTTGTCAGCTGCTCAGAACTACAAACCCATTTGATTCTGCTTCATCATTAAACCATTTTACCAATCAGCCTCCATGTTTCCAGTGTCTTTCTCCCGGCTTGGAACTGAACCAGATGAATATTTCTCCCAACAAGGCAAATTTATCATATGCTACCAGTAGTAATTTAAACAATAGACATTCAAATAATCTCACTTTGGAAAGGTGTAACCTGTTTCACAAGCTTGCTGCATCTTACAGTAGCCACATCCCTCCAATGATAATATATATCAGCACCATATGTGTCTATCCTAAAGCATGCCCTTTAGGATAGACTTGCTTAGGTATGTGGCTTCCCAAGTTTTGTGGAGAGCCTCCAATTCCATCCTCATTGCTGTTGCATCATTAATTTATTAATGCTGCAAGTTATTAGAAAAAGCACCTGAATGGCATTCATTAGTTGCAGTCAATAAAACCAAAATTAGTTTTTTCCCTTCTCCAATAAACCTGCCAGAGTGCTTTTCATAGATTATGAATAAAATGTTGCACATCTTTATTTAGGAAAATGAAATCCCATTGACAATGGTTTGTCTCCTGACCTGTTTAAGCTTCATTTGCCTCCAGTCTCTCCATTAGTGTTCTACATTTCAAGACTGGTTCCACTGCTTTGTCTATATGATGAAAAGGTGGAGTTGAACAAAGTTTCATTAGTGCTTACTTTATAGCACTTCTCACCAAATTTTCTTGAAGAAAAGGGTAATGGCTTTTCTCCCATGGTAGTGTCGTAAATGGATTTCTGAAGAATCTTAAAGTGCATCATTAAGTAAAAATGATGAATGGAATTCTGGGAAAATCTAGCTGTATTTCTATGTTGCATCAGTTACGAAATAGACATCTGGAATTGCAAGAAACATTTCCAGATTATGATGTGTAACTTTTGAATTCTGTCCATATAAATGGTCACTGTACAACTTTTAGATATCCAAGGCATATGTAAACATAGTTTCATCATTGCTCTATTATTCTATTTGGAAGTGGAGCTCCTGGCCTCCCATGAAAATTATAAATCCATTTGCTCAAAGTTCCAATTTATTAAGAGAATCATGTTGGCACATCTGGGAAAACTCGAATCTGAAAGCTTCCTGGTTTTCCCCACCCAGTTGAAAGTTCAGGATCCTGCCCCCACAACTCCATCACATGGCCCAACCTTCTACTGCCATGTTGACAGTACCACCAATCCAGTTCTGGTTAGGGGCAGAGGTATAGAGACAAAGAATGACCTTGGATTCTAGAAAGGAATTTTATTTTGACGACATCACATTCTACTCCTTACTATTCCCCCTCCCAATTCCCCACTAATGAAACAGCATAGTAGAATAGAATATTAGTATGGCAGGCCAAAGATCCCAAAAGGAACTGGCTGCAGGCCTGACACTCAGTTTATATGCCATGTTTTCAATAAAATAATTTGTAATTTGTTGATTTTTTTAGGTCATCAGCATATGTGACTCTTACCTGACACCCCCCCCCCATCTTCTTTTTCTTGTCTAACCACTACTTTTTCATCTGCCAGATTTATCATGAATTTGGACTGTTGAGTAAGAGGGATGTATGTATTAATTATGTGTAG